GACTTTTTTAAACAAATTATTTTTTAATTTTTATATTTATAAAATACTAAGTATTTTTCTTAAATACGAGGCGCTGGAAGCCATAGCGCCTCATATTTTATATTTTTTTTTCGTTTTTAAGTTTATTTCATGTTATATACTTTATTTTTCCTGTTTATATTTTTTAAAATTTAAATTCTTTTTCTGTTTTTTATCAGACATTTTTATAAATTTTTTTTTTAATATTTATAATAAATTTTTTTATTATATATTATTTATATAAAGGTGGTGTTATAGGCTACAACGGTTGTAATTTAAGCCAGGATGAGGCGCTATGGGCTATAGCGCCTCTTCAGAGGTCTCTAGCAGCTACAGCGACTCACACAATATGGCTTTCATGGCTTATATTCAAACTCAAAAAGTCCACGTGTCACGGGTGGCGCTATGGCCCATAGCGATACCGTACAAAACAGCCCTAAAGGTGTAATATGTTTCAAAACAACCCCATTTTGGTAATTAATATTATTGTTTTTGACCGAAATATTCTTATATATATATATTTATTTCCTTTAAAAAAAATTATTTATTATTATTTTACATTTATATTCTTTTCTTCCTTTCAATTCATCCCTTTCTCCGTCCGGTCATTTTTTCTGTTATTCAAAACATTTTTTTTATATTTTTTATCTTATTACCAAAATAATTATAACTAGGCAATCGCCAAAGCAACACCACAGATTCACACCAGTCACCCCATTTGTAAATAAAAGGATTAGTATATTTGAACATAGTTTTAGAAGGAAAGAATGAGAAAAGGAAATGAAGGGTATGGTAAGAAATAATAAATGTGAGAAAAAGAGTAGGTAGGGTTGCAAAGGCGGCTTGGGAGTTGGGACTAGTGAGTAATTGAGTGAAAGTGAATCCTTTCCGACATTTTGACTATAAATTGCATGATTCAGAATCCAACCGACACCCATGTTTTTGCAGCCTGGCGAAGTGGTTTCACACGATGGAGGTTCAAGTGGTGACTCCTCCCACGGATTTAAACTTGGACAGCAACTGCTCCTCCCCCTTCATCACCGCCCCCTCCAGCCCCCAACGCTTCGCCAACGGACCCTTCTTCTTCAGCGCCCCCACCAGCCCCACACGTCTCACCTCCTCTGTTCCCTTCCTCTGGGAACAAAACCCATCACAACAAGATTTCGAGTTCAACTTCACCGCCCACCCCGACCCCCCTTCTCTCTCCGCCGACCAACTCTTCCACGCCGGCAAAATCCGCCCCCTCGACCCCCCGCCCTCCGCAGAGGCCGCCACGGAAACTGTCCTCATAACAGAACAACAAGAGCGCACGCGAGGGAGGGAGAGGCTTTCGGCTTCTCTCCGCAAAGGAAGCAGGTCCTTGTCTCCCTTGAGAATCTCCGACATCGTCTGCGACTCCCAGGATAAAGCTGTTTCTGTTTCTTCCTCCACAAGCAACACCAAATCCTCCTTCTTGTCCTCGATTCCCTTCACCAGAAAATGGAGGTTCAGGGATTTTCTCCTCTTCAGGAGCGCCTCCGAGGGGAGAGCCACCGACAAGGACCCGCTCAGGAAGTACGTCGCTCTCTCCAACAACGACGACGTTCCCAACAGCAGCTTCCGCTCCACCGAGAGCTCCGGTTCGGTCTCCAAACGCCGCGGACCGGTTTCGGCCCACGAGCTGCATTACACGCTCAACCGGGCCGCTTCCGAGGAGTTGAAGAAAAAGACCCCCTTGCCTTACAAGCAGGGCTTGTTGGGCTGCTTGGGCTTTAACCCTGGTATGCATCATCACATTTCTAAGGGAATTGGCTCATTCACACGTTCCTAATCCCCTTTCTTCTTTTTCTGCTTAATTAGCTTTTCACACGCCCACATGTTCACCTCGCTTTCTTATTGCTGTCTCCTTCTCCACAAAAGACACTCCAATTTGTATCAAAATAATTGTATCATTCACATCATACATGCCTATACGTATTACCTTATGTTTCCTAGGTTCCACTTAATTATCGTCAAATTCACTAACATGCATATAGCTTTAGCATAACATGTTACCTATTTAATTAATCATTCATCGTCTTGTTTAAGATGGGCAAAAATGTCAAAATTGATTTAAAGAGAAAATAAAAAGACAATTTTTATATTTTGTTTATCAAATTTAATTTCTGTCTTTTTTTAACACAATAAAAAAAATTTCATCCTTACATATATTTTCTCGGTTCTCTGGTTTTTTTCCCCTTTAACTCAAACATTGATATATGTTGGATCCGGGTGTTACTCTGTTTGTTTCTTTCGAAGCAAACAATGTTAGAGACGAGGGAGTGTTATTTAATTATTTGTGCTATATTTTTAAATATTAAGAACATCTTTAACAATAATTTTTTATTAGATTCATAAATTTAAGATTATATATAATTAATAGTCGTACAAAGATTAAAACTTCATATTTATTATACCAATTTTCTTCACTATCTCTCATAAATTTAAGAAAAAGTTGTTTTATAATTTTAATATGTGAGTAATTGGTATATTCAAATTTAATTCCTATTTATGTTAAAATAATATTTAATCAATAAAAATTACATTATGCAAGTTCAGATGATAAATTTAAGATTTTTTTATATAATTTTATTAAAGTAATTGATATTTTCAAGTTCAATTTTTGTATGCATTAAAAATAATGTTCGGTCGATAAAAATTTTGCTAACGCACAGAAATTTATAAGGAGCCGTTATTGATCGTTAAAAACTGTGTCACAGATGTAAGATTCATTTTACTAATAATTGTATTAATGAGGAGACAATTTAGTGAAGTTTTAAAATTTTATTTAACGTTATAAGACTAAAGAAACAAAAGTTAACCATCTCCTTCATTATTGCATATTAGATACATGCTAAGCGAGTTTTGTTTTCAACATCCGAGAATCTGTGCTAATACAATGAATAGTTCGATTTTGTATAATAAGCGACTTGTTTGCAAAGAAGCGTTTCAATATTTGACACAGTTTGATGCAGTGACGGTGAAATGTATAAACTATAAACGGAGAATGATAGCAGAACATGGTTAGCTAAAAGAACCGTGTAAAGAATATAAGCATGAGATAAGAAAAGAAGGAAGCTTTTGGTGTATATAATAATCATTAAGATTTGGAATAATGATAGCAACGGTGTTGTACAGTGTAAAGTGTGTGGTTGAAATGGGCACCCACAGTCAAATTAAAGTAAAAATAAAGGTAGGGATACCAAACCTGTGATTATGTGTCGATGGATCACTACAGACTGCAATGATGGCCACCTAACAACATACCTGTAATTGGAATCACAAAGCCTAATTATGTGGCGGGTCTAGGAATAAACTCTCTTACCCCTTTTAAGAAAACAATTTGAGAGGGGAATTTTGGAAAGTAAATTTGAAAATAAAGACAAAATGGGAGATTTTAATATGATTTTCACATCATTTATTAGTGCATAGATAAAATCATGAGATGCACAAGGGGATATTTCTTTGTCACTTGGAGAAAGGATAAAATTGAGTAATTTCAGTGGGGCTAATTCATACCGAACAAAAGAATTAATGATTATTCAGTAAGAATTGAATAATTTTCACTCCTCTCATCTTCATTTTATTTGTGTCTACAGTGTTGAGCAGAGTGGTGTTTATATGTTGCTAATGCATATGGAGCTAGCTAGCATTAGATAACGTTGCCATACATGGTGAAAAGATCAAATAGTATGTATAATCCAGGAAAGCAAGTCAAAAATAAACGCAAAAAGTTTCTTCTCCCCATTAAGTAGTCATATAACTTGTGATACTGTAGCAAGTATTGTACTATATACAGGGCCACATTCCCACTCCCCAGTTGCAAAAGCTGAACAAAGAGTGGCCCTTAACGTACTATAAGAAAATCAGCACAAAGCAGAACACAGCGTGCAAAACGTTGGAAATGACCTACCATGTGCCTGTTCCTAATACACATAGCAAGTAAATATGTGTTTAGTTTTTGTTATTACGGGTAGGAGCAAAAGAAGTAACAAAAAATATTAGAGGAACTATTTGAAACAAAAAGAAATTATAAGAACAAAAAAAAAGTTACTACTATTTATGAGACTTATGCCTATTAGATATATATAACTATTCACGTTAATTTATGTGTTCTTCAACTCCTTGTAAGTTCACTTTAATTACCGATTCGAATTTCCAAATATGAACTACGCTAATACCGACATTTGAGTTGAAAAATCAATAGCATGCTGCAATCAGTGATTGGGGCACAGGAGTATGATGTATTTTCCAGCTAAAGGTTGAAAAGGAAAGGACAGAGATTTATCCATGCATGCATGTTAATGTGGTTACGCAGTCCTTTAAAAGAAAAGAAAAGAAAAAAAAGAGCAAATTAATGTTATTTAGGAAAAGAATGGGACGACCAAGCAAGCCATGCATGCAAAGCTGTCTTTATGTAAAGGGAACACCTGTCAAATGAAGAGGAAACCCATATGATGATTATGAAGTTCTATAATTTGTTAGCTACTACCTTTTTCTCGCTTACTTTATTATTTGCCTCTTTGGAGTTTGGAGTATGTACTATACAACACACATAATATTAGGAGCAAAAGTGACCAGTGTCATATATGGCCACGTTACACAATATTTAGGCTCATTTTCTTTGCTGAGTCCTAGTCAATAGTCGTAGTACAAGATGTACTACTACCGTTTAATTAATATATAGAGTTGAAAAAAAATGGTTGAAAAATGTCGAGTTGAATTATTATTATTATTATTATTTTGGGTTGGGGGGGTGGGGGTGGGGGTGATAAAGAGGAATGACACTAACTAATCCATGGTCCTAGCCATATAATAGTACACGATAATGGCATGGTGAAATGTACTACTGCTTAATTAATATAGAGTAATTTGAGTTGGAAAAGAAAATACATAGTTGAAAAATTTGTGTGTTGGGGGGGATTTTTTTATTAAAATCATTTTACTTTATATGCCTGAAATTCATTAATTGTTTCATTTATTTACTATAACTATTTTCTAATTTAAGAAGCCACTAAAGCTTGAGTTGAAAAAAGATGGGGGTAAAATTTAGGTAACTATGTACCTAAACTGATCTCCTGTAATTAATAATGTTCCATTTTCTCAATTTATTTATGTATTTGAATCGTTAAGTTTCCCTATAGTTTAGGGTAAAGTGATCAAAAATGTTAATGCTATATAACTATAGATAAAACCATGATTAATTAGCTTATACTGTAGTTAAATTAAACAAACTTAACCCAAGGTCAACAATTTTCACTCTAAAGTCTAAACTAAAAAAATGTTTACGTATGTAAATTATTAGGAAAGTATGAAACCCACAATTTACGAAAATACCAACAATATTAAAATGTCGCTTTTTTTTTCTTCAATAAATCAACGAAATTTGAATTTTATTAGACTCATTTTTTTTATTACTTCACAAGTACTACTAATTAGTATTTTAACCTTTATTATGCATACACTAAATGTTTATTATATATAATTAAAATTTATGATAAATTATATATACATATAAATATTTGAATATATATAAATTATATTGAAAATTTAAATAAATGTATATTTTAAACATATAAATATATATTTAGATTTATAATAAATAATTTATATTGTAGCATAAGATTATTTTAATTTGTTAATAATTTATTTAAAAAAATAAAATTTAATTTATAAATAATTATGACAAATAAAAATTAAATTAAATAAAAATAAAAAAAATTCTAAAAATCCTTTTACTGAAAAAATTCTTAAAAAATTACTCTAGTATAAAATAACTATTTTTGATAGGAAAACGACCTTTTTCGGTAATCAGCTAAGATCCCGTTCGTTTGACTCATATGAGGATTTATCCAGCAATTAAGATGCGTCAGGAGTTGAAATTCAAACTGAATGTATCAACTATGGGTAGCATTAGAAATTAACAAATCAATAAATCATAAAAAAGTTTAAAAAAAAAATTAAAAGTTGAAAAATAATTTTTAGGGGTACGTTTGAGAAAGGAAAGGTAAAAGAGAAGAATATGGAAGAAATGAAATTAACAATTCATCAAAAAGTTAAAAAATAATTTTTAAGGGTATGTTTTAGAAAGGAAAGATAAAAGAGAAGAATATGGAAGAAATGAGAATTGGTAGAAGTAAAACAAAGAAAATGAATGTTGTTTGATAAAGAAGAATTGAGAGAGAAAGTGTCGGAATATAATTATGGGAGTCACAAAGAAAAATTAATTTCTCTTTAAAATGAGAGGAAGTGAAGAGAAGTTGGTGATAAATAATAATAATAATAATAAATTGGATTATTATTATTATAATTAAAATAAAAAGGTGATTGTGTTATATATATATATATATATGTATCGATATTATATTTAATTAATTAATAATATAACTAAAAAATAATCATAATAAAAAATATTTATTATGTTTGAATAAAATTATTTATAAATATATATATATATATATATATTTATTTATTTATTTAAATGACACATACATATAAAGAGAGTTTAAATAATATCGATATAATTTTTATTAACTATTACACTCTTTAATAACTTTTAATTGAACATGAATTTTGTCGATCTAACCGTTTCATTATAATTTTATATCATCTTGTATGTTTATGTCAGATTTTGTTAAAATTAAACAAAAATAAGAAGGTAATCAAAGTGTTCATATTTTAATATATTTTGAAGTATATATTTTATGTCAATTTTGTTTTATAAGAATGAAATGTCAAATTGTCTTAGATTAATATAAAATTTTGTATATATAATATAGGAATAAAAGTTTTTCAATCTAATAATAAGTTTTGAAAAGTTTTTATTTAATTTAAAGTTATTGAATAGTATAATAATTATTTTAAAGTTATATATATATATATATATGTATATATATATATATTCTCGAAGACTTATTTGTATTGTAGTATTGAATAGTAAGTTTTGAAAAATTTACATTTTATTGAA